TGGTCACGCCGTTGCGCAGTTTCAGCTGAAGAGCGTCTGCAGCGGCCCAGGGGCGCACGGGGCCAGGCGCACCCACGGCCGCTGTCCTTTGTCCCCACCAGGGCAGGGGCAATGCTGGGGACACCGGTTCAGTGTCCCTCTCCCTCTCGGAGGCCCGCGGGGCCTGCACCCGGCGCGGCACTGTCCATGGCAGACGCAGGCGGGAAGGCGAGGGCCCCGCGCCCGGGGGCTTGTCACCTCCTCTGACGGGTGGGCGGGGACGTCCGAGCGCTCCCGTGAGTGAGAGAGCCCGGCACAGGGCTCCTGGCTGTTCGTGGCCCTCGACTGCCCCCGTCTCCTTCCTGCCGTCCAGGCAGGGGCTGGTTCAGGAGCAAAGAGGGTCTGAAGCCCCTACGCAGCTCCGACGTGCTGGCACGCGCCCGCGCAATCCCGTGGCCCCAGCACGCGGGCCCCACCGGCCCGGCTCAGAGACGGGTGCATCGTTAGACCTTTCGAGATGGCAACAGCGGAGCAAGGGGACGGGTGGCAGGGAACGGGCCGGCACGCGCTCGCGCCGCCAGCTCACCGCAGAGCCCCGGCGGCCACGGGCCCAGTCACCTTGCAGTCGTCTCCAGAGAGGGAGGACCGCTCTGGCTAACAACAGACGTGGACTTTAACAAAAGACTGCAAGGAAGCATCCCAAAGGGCGAGCACGGTGTCTCCGCGTGGAGGGAGCCGAGTCTGCCCCGCCCCTCCCGCTGCGGGCGTGGAGCCGCCCAGCCGCCCCTGTCACCCCGGCTGGCTTTCAATTCGCAAGACCTAAAACACCTCTAACAAAAACACCCCTGAGCTCTGCCAGCTCTCAGGATAAAACCCAAAAGCTGTAGCAAGTAAAAACAACCGGGAGATGATGTGGAAACATTTTATTAGAATTTGATTTCCATCTTGCAGAAAGAAAATGAGAAAAATCCTGTTCCGTGACTGCACCAACCTCCAAGTTCCGATTGATTAAAAATAAAGGAGAGCATGGCTTACAGCACCGGTGGGGGCGCCCAGGGACAATCAGGGGAGCTGTCAACAGCAAGGCCTTGGGTCGCACGGAAGACCTTGGGAGAGCACGTGACCTTCGGCAACCCAGGGCAGTAGCAGTGCAGGGAAACTGAGGCACGGAGCTGATGTGCAACAGGGGACACCCTCTCAAGGCCACTGTCCCTCCCCTCGCCCCCAAATAGGGACAGGAGCTTGTGAAATCCCAGGAAAACTTATGGAGGTGACTTCCTGAGTGGAAGAAGGAACGAAGATCAACACAGCCCGTGTCTCGATGTTCCAGACTCGAGACAGCGTCTCACCCTCTGGGCCGCTTAGACCATGCCTCAGTTTCCCCAGAGGGTGGATCTGGGCGAGCTGGTCCAATGACAGTCCTAAGTGACCTAACTGTGGCCCCTAGAGAGCGAGCACGGTCAGGGATGGACAGTGCCCATACCCACGCCCGCACCCCTGACCCCCGCATGCTACGCCCTCACCGACGAGAGCGCCCCATCTCAGAGCAGGGGCAGCTCATAGGCCAGACAGCACCCCGCAACTGTGACCCTCCTTCAGATGACCTCAGCAACAACTCGGAGAGGGAACCAAGGACAGAAGCCAAGACTCGAGAGCCTGCGCACCCTGCCTAAGGCTGGGTCCCCGAGCCAGGCCCTGCAGGGAAACCAGGTCTCTCGACACAAGCCTTGGGGTGTCCCATCCGGCTGGAAACGCCTCCTCAGTAGGGCCGAGGAGGGGAACCAGGCCCAGTAGTGTTGACTTCAGTGAAATGAAAGATCAAAAGGATTCCTGAAACAGGGAGCCTTGAATCAACTGCCCTTGGCTGCCGCGCCCGGAGGGCAGCCGGCGCCCGGGTTTCCGGATGACCCGCAGCGCGTGGGGCGGGCTGACTGCAGGAAGCAGAGAGGGCTGCGCGTGCACGGAAGGAGGGAAGGCACCAGCCCTAGGATCCAGAAGCCAGAGTAAGGAAGGTCACACGTGGCCAATGCCCAGCGCCGGGTGCCACCCGCTCCCCATCAACAGCCCCCCCCCCAACTGCTTCGTGGTCCCGAGGGGGCTGCCAGCAGTGGGGTGTCTGTCACATCAAAAGACACAGAGGGCCCGTGCTACTTTCTACTGAACCTCGGGAATGGATTCCCATGTCCCTCCTGGCACAGCCATGGCAGGGGCTGGGATGACCATGGGGCAACGCTGACCAGCCGTGGCCAGAGATAAATCGCTGGGAAGCGCCACGTTCTGCATGGGGTGAGGTCGGCCTGATGGAGGGGAGACCGGTCACACTACCCAGGGGGCAGATTTAACCCAAGCCTGGGCCTCCCACCCGCAGAGCCCTCCCTCCGCAGCGCAGGTTACACCTGACCTCGCCCAGGACACACCAGATCAAAACATGAGCCGGTCCCATCCGTGGAGGCTGCCCGGGGCTGATTCAGGCAGCCTGGCCCCTCCTGACCCTCCTGATTCCTGAGCAGGGCACCTTGCGCCTCGGAGGCCCGCTTCGTTTCCTCAACCACCAAACCAGGCTCATTCCCAGGGGCACAGAGATGACCCTGAGGTCACGGGCACGCGAGGCCAGCAAGGAGATGGCGCGAGGAAGCAGGTCCACCCCTCCCAGGGGCAAGAGAGGCGCGCACGGGACAGAGTTTAATGGATGCGGTTTCTTGCAAACTCTAAGCATCTGCTGTTATGCTCATGAGCGTCTTCCTGGAACAAGACTCTAAACGCAGAAGGGTTGGTGAACGCCTCCAAGCAGACCAGGCCCGGCACCGGCGCTCCCCGGATCAGCATCACTGATCACACCAACAACCGGGTAAGTCCTCCTTACTGCTCCCTTTGCAAGGGGAGACAGCGACGCTCAGAACGGCTTCGCAAGCCACCGTAGGTTGCACAGCACTTGAGGAGCCAGAAGGCGGACTGGGACACACGTCTATAGGCCCCCCAAATCTGTGACCTGTCCTGTGCCCTCAGCACAAAAGCCCAGGTAAGATGCCTTTCCCCCTTATTTTTGTGCAAAGGCCAGAATTCTCACATCGTTCTAATTCTAGTAATTATTATGGAATGTAACAACAATGAAATTGTACATTTTGCTATTGTTTCCGTCACCAACCAGCCCCTGCCTGCCCTGAGGACCGGAACCTCTGATCCTGTCCCTCCTGCACCCCCAGCACCTGCACCCCAGGCCCGACACTCACTGGGGCTCTGTCTGGGACATGGACAAAGTCCAAACCTTGGTTTCCTCCCCTGTAAAATGGGGGTGAGGGGGGGCGCAGATACTGGCCACCAGTTACAGATTTACAGTCTCCAGGGGGCTCCTGCGTCCACCATGTCACCTGACAGGTACAGAAACCGAAGACTCTGGGCAGAGCAGAATGACTCACCCCCATTTCACAGATGGGGACATTAAGACTCGATGAGAAGAGAGTCCCCTCACCGTCACAGGGCTCCCTTCTGAAACACAAGGTTCCCCAAGGGCAGGGTCTTTGGGCAGCGCCCGGCCAGCAGTGACCGGCACTAGCAGGTGCTCAGTCCGTGTTTGCTGATGAACGAAGAAAAGCCCACAGGGCCGCGTCTTCCTCTCCCCACCAGGCACTCGCGCCCGCCGCCCCTACGCAGAGCTGGGGAATCTCTGATAGAAACGGGGCCGGGGGAGACCATGCAGGAGGCCTCGCTGTCCCCAGTGCGCGCACACACGCCGGGCACGGCCTTGGCACTCGGCATCACACGAGCTGTGCGCGCCGCTCGTCCTGGTGCGGAGAGCGGGGCCGAGGCCTCCTCCGGGGAGCCGGACCCGAGCGGCCCCGAGAGCCCGCGCGCCAGCCGCCCCGCACCTGCCCGGCCGCCCGGTCCTCCCGCCCCGCCCTGGGCCGCGCGGCCGCCGGCAGGAGAACCCGCCCGCGCAGGTGCCCTCGAGCTCCCCAAGGCGCCCCCAGGACCAGGACCGCTCCCCGCGCCTGGGCAGAGCCGGACCCGGGGCTCAGCCCGGCCCGCGCCGGCCCTGCCCGGGCCCCCACCGCCCGCGCCCCCCGCGCCCCCACCCCGCGCTCCCCGAGCCCCCCGCGGCCGGGGCGAAGCATGACTCAGCGGTTCTCCTCCCGGAGCGGGGCGCCGCCCCCGCGCCCCGCCGCCCGCTCCGCGCCCCCAGCCCGCCGCGCCCGGCCCCGGGCTGCATCCGCCCGCGGCCCCTTTCCCGGCGGAGCCGCCGAGCCGCGCCGTCCCCGCGGGGCGCAGGCCGGGCCGAACGCGGGGCGCCCCCGGCTCCTGCGCCCGCACCAGCGCGCCCGGCCCGGCCGCCGCCGCGCGCCCCTCCCGGGGCTGCCCCGGACCCACCCTGCCCCCAGCGCGGCCGCCGCGGGGGGCGCCGACCCCCGGCCCGGGGTGGGGGTGGGGGTGGGGGTGGGGGGGCCAAGCCAACTTAGGGGCGTCAGCAGGAGCCTTTCCAGGCGCGCGTCCCACTTGGGGGCACGTTCTGGCGCGGGGGCCGCAGCCCGGCCCGACCTCGCCGGACGAGAGCCCAGCCCGGCCCGGCCCCGCCCGCCCTGCTCCGGCGCCCCGGGGGCCGGCTGGGGGTCCCCAGGAACGGGAATGAACGTTTCCCCGGGTGCCTCTGCATCTCCGGGGAGTCGGCAGCCTAGAAAATTCTGCGGGCTCGGCAGGGCTGACACGCCGGCTTCCGAGCCACGGCCGTCCCCGGGGCTCCTGGCGGGCCTCGGGGGCCTCTCTAAGGGCGGGCCGGGCCGGGATGGGGCGCCCCAGGCCGGGGCCGGGCTCCCGCGGGAGGGCGCGGGGGAGGGCGCTGCCCGCTCGGGCCGGTGCCCGGCTCCCCCTCCCGGCCCGGGGCGCGGGGCGCGGGGGCGCGGGGAGGGGCGCGGGGGGCGCGGGGAGGGGCGCGGGGGGCGCGGGGGCGCGGGGAGGGGCGCGGGGGGCGCGGGGGCGCGGGGACGGGGGGCGCGGGACGGGGTCACGACACCGCGCGCGGTGCGCACCTTCAGCGGGCACTCGGTGCGACGGCATCCCCACGCCGCGGCCGGCCGGCGGGGGCCTCGCCCGGGCGCACGTTACCTTCGGTCACATAGCCGTGGTCCCGCAGGAAGCCGTGGTTAATGTTCCGCGCGTCCGTGTCCTCGCCCATTGAAGGCCGCGCCCGGCGCCCTGGGCATGCCCCGCCGCCGCTCGCCGATGCAATCCGCAGGGGAGGCGCCGGGCGCGCGGGCCATGCCGCCGCCGCCTAGCAGGGGCGCGGGCCGCCGGGCCCGCGGGGGGCGGGCATCGCGGCGCGGGGCCGGGGGGCCGGGGGCGGGCGGGCGGGCGCCGCGGTCAGGCGAGCGCGCGGCGGGCGGGCGGCGGCCGCGGGTGGGGGCGCGCGGGGCTCGGGGCGCGCATCCCGGCCGGCCGTGCGCGCTGCGTCCGTGCGCCCGGCGGCGGCGGCGGGCTGGGCCGGGGCGCCCGGCGGCGGCGGCGGGAGGGGACGCGCGCGGCGCTGCGCGACCGAGCCGGGGCCGAGCGGGGCGGCGCGGGCTGGGCGGCCGCCGGCGCAGGCCCCTCCCTCCCTCGCGCCGCCCCCGCCCCCGAGGCCCGCGCCGCCCGCCGGGCCCTGCAGTGGAGCCGCCTCGGGCGGACGCGGCCGGCTCGGCCTCTGCACCTGGGCGCGCGCGGGGCCAAGGAGGGGCTGGCGGGGGGGGGGGGGGCGGGGGGCCGCTGGCCGCCCGGTGCCCAGGCATGGCGGGGACGGCCCCGGGCGGGGGTGGGGGGGACGAGACGCGGGGAGGGCAGCGACCTGCAGGACAGGGAGGCGCTGGGCACAGCCGCAGGCGATGCGCCTGGAGGAGAGAGGAAGAAGCTGGAGGGAGGCCCGGGAGTCGGCACGCTGCGAGGCAGACTCTGGGGGACCGGGCTGGGGTGGATGGCCTCCTCCAGGCAGAGCTCGGGGACCTCTCCTTGTGCTCACCTCTGACCCGGGAGGTGAGCTTCTCACTGGGTCCTCTCCAAAAGCATTGGGAAGGGCAGTCCTTCCACGCTCTCTCCCTCCCACCAAACCCAGGCTTCTGACACAGGAACCCCCACTCCACCCCACTTTAATGGCCAGCATACCCCGGGATCAACACAGCGCCTGGCACAGAGCAGCCCTCCAAAAATCTGTTCTCTCTTTAGTCCAGTGGCCTCCTCCTCCACGCTGACCCCTTGTGCCATGAGGCCAGCTCCTCCGTGGAGCACTGGCCCTGCCAGCGGCAGAGATCATGCTGCCGCTGTGTGGCCTTTCCATCCTCTCAGTGGGCTTCTCTGGGACTCCAGGCAGCTCCCCAAACTGCAGTGGGGCCAGGAGAGGCCAGAGGGGCTTGGAGCAGGGCAGATGAGGGCCTGGGAAGCACTGGGGCAGAGGCTTCTGCCTGAGGCTTCTTGCTGGGGAGCCGGGAGGGGTTTGCAGCTAGAGCTGCGTTTTCATTGCCTAGAAATGCCCAGAATGAGGAGGTGAAAGTGCCCCCCACCCCAAACACACACAACCTGCAGGATGGAACGGTTAGGGCCGAGCCCGGGAGGCCTGGGGGCTCTACCAGTGCCAGCCCTGCTTGCTGAGTGACCCAGAACAAGTCCCCCAATTCCCTCAGTCTCAGCTTTTCTCAGTGCCCACCCCATGGCCCAGGTGTGCAATTACCTCTCACCCCTCTTGCTGGGCCTCATCTGCACATCCCCAGTGAAACAGGGTTCATCTGTTCAACACTGTGTTCCTGAGAGTCATGTTGTGTCAACGTGGCTGTAGCTCATTTTTCACTGCTGCGTAGTGGTCTAGGGCAGGCCCTGCAGCCTAGCCTCCAGCTGATGGGCTTGTTTTCAGCTTGGGGGTGTTTGTGAGCAAAGCCCAGTCTTGTGCTCGTGTGAAGTCCCTCCGTGTGTGTTCTCATCAGGGCGTTGCCGCATGGGGTAGACAGCGACTTCCCATCGCTGGTAGAACTAGGTGCGGTCACAAGACTGTCTTGGGGCAGAAAAATGTCAGGGAACAAACAGGTGTCTCTTGGGGAAGGAAACTTTGAGTCTGAGTGTAGTCAGCCAGAGTCTTTTTGTCCTGACTGGAGTTCTTGGGAAAGCACCTGTCAAGATGAAGTCTCCGTCAGCCAGAGTCCCGAAAGACCCTGGGACCTACACCGGAAGGGAAGTGTCCTGCGAGCTAGAAATAAACATGGGTCTCAGGACCTGGGTTGTTTGTCACTGCAGCAGAATCTCACCCATCCTGACTGCTACATCCCTCCTGGCGGCTGGTGGCTCTGCACAGCCCTAGGTTATCTTGCTCTGGCCTCAGTTCTCTCAGCGGGAATGGACAAGGTCATATTGCAGAGGTAGGGGGCCCTCCAAAAAGCAGCAGCTTATAGAATCTGCCCCCCACTGATGGATTGTGCTCCGTGAGTTCACTGCAGCGCTCGGCCTCCGTCACCTTTCCCCCCAGAACCAGGCTGATGGAGCCCCCCATCAGCTGGATGTAAGTGGGCTCATGGCAGAGTCAAGGGAGAGAGATGGGGGCCACGAGCTCGCCCTTGCAGCCACTTGAGTCACATACGCACTCGTCGTTCAGCAGGGCAGAGAGGTGGCACATCGGCCAATGGCCACACGGCCCCAGTGGAGCACACGAGTGCGCTCCTCCCCAGGGAGTGGCCCACGAGAACGCAGCCTGCGCCAGTACTGGTTTCGTAAACGGAAAATCAGCCACCAAGTCTCTCTTCCCAAGTCACCCAGCTACTACGTGGCAGAGCTGAGATTGCCGGGCCTGTGTGACTCCACAGCTTGTATGTTCAGCCCCTACTAGTCGGTTTGAGCATCACTACTTCTCTGCCACCTTCCCCACTGCGCCCCCAGGCCAGGCCCTGGGCTCAACTTGGAGATGGGTTCTGGTTCTTTCCACCACTGCGAGCCACCTGTCTTCCCTGGAGCGGCTGCCCGAAGCAGTGCCCGGAGGATTCCTGCTCCGGAGATGCTCGGCAACCCCAGCCCCCACCCCCATCCAGGTTCCTCCGGAAGGAGAGCACCTAAGCATTCCCCGGGGGTGCTGAGACCCGCCACGGAGCTGGAAGTGTGAGCGCGCACGCTCGAGTCCAGCGGCTTCCGCCTCTGCAAGGGAACACTCAGGATGGGAAAGGTGGAGATAAAGAAAAATCAAAACTGCTGTTGTCCTGAATCCAAACATAATCACCTAAGACCTTCGGGAATGTGGCATTTGAGAGCCTTCCAAGGTAGAGTCCTGTCTTTATGGAATCCTGACTGTCTTATATTGACTTTAATCTATAAAGTGCATTATTACAACCCTCACCCACCCTTTGACTGCTGATTGTACAGGAACCAAGATTAAGGTGCTGACATAGTTGCCTCTTTTTATTTAAGAAATAAGACGCCGGAAGAGGTTGGAGCTCCTGTGCATCCTTCATTCGTCCTTTCTCCTTCCGAAGGCGAGCACCGACGCACGCGCCGTATCCTTTCCTGCCGTATCAGATGTTATCAAAAGGATTGTGCTACATCGCAGATTACTTTTTTCTAAGCATGTTTCAGCTCAGTCCACTTTCTTCATCAGTTTGAATTTGGAAGAAAACCATGCATGGTGTGCTGGGGCCTGCCCGAGCACCTTCCCTCCAGAGCTGGCTTCCCACGGGGCGCTCAGGGAGCCACCTGCGAGCTGGACTCAGCGGGAGCACGAATAGTCCAGAAAAGTGGCAGCTGCCGCACATGAAGGCTTTTTCCCCCTAGACAGTAGATTGTTAAAAACTGACTAGCGTGCCGGAGATGCTACAATTAATTTATTCTGTCTTCCACCCACCTTAAGGATATTTAAGTGGCTTCCAACCCTTCAGGACTTCAAACATCACTGCGGCGACACCTTCTCACCCTCTCCCTGACGTCTGGGTGACCCGGGATGGACGCCTGGAGGCAGGCACGACCCCGGTACTGATTTCACTTCCTACATGTTGCCAAATCAAGAAACAATTTACACGCCTACAACGCACGTCACATTCTCAGTGACACTTGGAGTTGACGTAGGTGCATGTCAGGTTGACGGGTGTGCGACATGTGATGATTGTGCAGTCTGCATGTCCTGGCAGTGGGGCTGGGAATCTTTCTGTCATCCACGGGAGTATCCTCTTCTGTGAAATGCCTACCTGCTCTCTCTGCCCATCTTTTCACGGGATTTCTTGACTTTTTTCTTGCTGATTTCCAGAAACTTTATGTGACTTTATCACCTACCCTCTGTCTCCATGTTCCATTCTCTCATTAGTTTTTTCTCCTAACTTTTCTATGATGCTCTTTTCCAGAAGTCACTCGTATTGATGTTGGGAAACTCATTAACATACGCGTGTGGCGCTATCTCTGGACCCTACTCCGTTCCAGCGCCCTGTTCCCCTGTCCTGATGCCCACACCACCTGTATCCGTCACTGAAGTTTTAGAATACATTCCTGAAACCAGGTGTCAGTTCTTCAAACATGTTCTTTTCCTTCAAAGTTGTTTTGTCTATCTTTGGTTTTTCCAATTTCCATATGAATTCTGGAGTCAGTTTGTCAGAAAATATACCTGTTGAGATTTCAGGATTGTGTGGAATCTGCAGATCAAGTTGGAGAAAACTGACATCTTAAAGACATGGGGTGTTTCGACCACAAACACCGTATATTTCTCTACCTATTTCCATCTCAAATGTCTCTTATCATTGTTTTATAACTTTCAGTGTGGACTGTTTACACCACTGTCCAGCTTACCCCTCTGCATCTGTGTTGTGAAAGGTACTTGATCTATTTTCAGTTCAGTTTGATCTGAGCTCCTGTCTGTGAGCTAAAGTTGTTTTATTAATTCTGGAAACAGTCTTGTAGATCCAGTGGGATGTCTACATAGACAACCATGTCATTGTGCCTGCAGATAGTTTCACTTCTTCCTCTCTGAGCTCAGTATCTTTCTCTTTCTTGCTTTATTGCACTGTCTACCACCTCCACTAAAGGCTGAAGGACACTGTCACCGTTGACAGTGGTCATCCTTGCCATGTCGCTAATCTGAGGAGAAAACATTCCGTTTTCTACCATGGAGGTTTTTCATGGTCACTCTTTTTTTTTTAATATTTTATTTTATTCTTTCTTTTTTTTTTAAAAAAGATTTATCTATCTATACAAGCACTGGGTACAGTCAGAAGCGCGGGAGGGTGAGAGAATGAGCCAGAGCCAGAGCGGGGAGCAGAGCAAGCAGAAGGACCGAAGTACACTGCTGAGGGGAGCAGCGGGCGGCAGGAGAGGTCTGCGCGCCATGTGGGACCCTCCTCCGGTGGCCGGGGAGCAGCCGGGGATCGAACCAGCACCGCAGAGGCCGCAGGCAGCTTCGCAACCCAGCGCTCCACCGCTGCACCACCAGGGAGGCCCTTTCATGGTCACTCTTTATCAAATTGGGGAGGTTTACTTGTATCCCCAGTTTGTTGAGAGATTATCAGAAATAGAGATTGGGTTTTTTCAAATACCTTTTGTGTGTTTGTTGTTAATATGGTGCTATTAAAA